AAACACATGTAAAAATAGGCCCGGTAGTATAAGGAGGCCACATTTGAGCTTCAACAATTATCAACTCTTGGCCAATCTCTTCTATTTACATGTATAAATTACTTTACCTTTTGCAACAGCTTGGATGGACCTGGATGGTATTATGCTAAGTGAAATAAGCCTGTCAGAGAAAGACAAATACCATATGCTCTCACTTATATGTGGAATATAAACTGATGAACAAAACAGAAACAGAGGCATGGATACATGGAACAGACTGGCAGCTGTCAGAGAGGAGAGGGTTTGGGGGGCTGGATGAAAGAAGGAAAAGAACATATATGCATAGCCCATGGACACAGACAACAGAGTGGTGATAGCCAGAGGGCAAAGGGGGGCAATAAGAGGAGGTGGGCAAAGGAGGGGAGAATGGAGACAGAAAGAAACTTTGCTTTGGGTGAAGGGCACATGATGCAGTGTACAGATGATGTTTTGTTGAGTTGTATACTTGAAACATATACAATTTTGTGAACCAATGTCACCCCAATAAATTCAATTTTAAAAAGTACAGTGTTTAAAATACTCTCATCTACATTATCTCCTTTGATTGTCCTAACAACTGTGAAAGTCAGGTTGTGTAGTTTTATAGTTAAATTCTATTTCTAACTCATTAGCATTTTAATGTAAATGCCAATTTTTAAGATAGTGAAGCAAAAGATATAGAGTTTGCTTGTATTCTTTATGCATGCTTTATTGGGTTTTTGAGTATCCTAATTCATTAATAAAGGGAAATGGAGGCACACTGGCATGTCATTATCTCCAGCTATTATTCAAACCGGATTGAATTATGTTTAATAAAATTATTAGGATAAATTACAGATTTTTACTTTTCTAGAAAACTGCTTTTACTGAATAACCTTGATCTCAACTCATCCTAGAAAAATAGAATTTTACTAAACGAACTACTTCCAATGTCACATTTTGTGCATAATAGCTGCAAACATCTAAAATTTAAGGAAGCACTGTAATTTAGAATAATTCTAGGCCAAAAGTGACATTTGTAGAGGATCCAGATGCATGACAATCACATAAACCAAAGGAGCCATTTAATCATGGTCTGGATGTTATTTTTCTGACACTTATCAGTGAAACTGTCATGGATCCCTGGAATTGGGGCTATTAGAATTATTTATTTTGATATCACCCTTTTTCACATAATTGTGTTGGATGTTTTAACAGGAATTATTTATGTTCACATGCATGTGGGTATTGATTATCTATACCTGCACATTACATTATTACTTGTACATGAATTACTTCTGATTTTTTTTACAACCTGATTTGCATACCCATATTATCATGTAGATATTTGCAAATACATGTGTGTGTGTGTGTGTGTGTATTCCTGCTCTCTTTCTTACTTGACTGAGAATACCAAGGATCTCCCCAAATGTTCATTTGAAGGTTGATTTAGTCACACTAGCAGAACCCCAGGCTCAAATGTCAGATTGGATCAGTTCTACCCTGTGCACTAATCGCGCTGCCGTCTTCCTGCTGCAGAAGTTACAGTGGCATGCTACTCATCAAGGCAGAATGTAAATGTTTAGTGATTATACAATATGTTTTTGTTAACTCCCCAGATGGGATTTTTTTTTTATACCTTTGTTTGTTTATTTGAGAACAAGAGCTGAATGCTGAAATGCAGTGGCTGATGCCAGCAATCCAAGGCTTCATTAGTACAGATGAAGCAAAGCTCATTTGTTACACAAATAATTAGAGAGATTAAATGAAAATAAACACTTAGAGGATGTACAGAAGCTCTGAAGTTAGGTAATCATTTTAATTACTCTAGTGACTTCTACCAACCTTCATTACCAGTCACAGATCAAGTTCAAATTGTTTTATGTAAGAATATCATAAACCACAGGGAAAAGTACGAGAGCTGCCCAATGATTACGCTTCATAAAATGACATTTCTTCAAGCTTCCATTTAAAGGAGTTGTTTCCATTCCCGTACCTGACAAACTCTCTAAATATTTAAAGAGTGATACATTTTGCACTTAAGAGGGTTTTACCCTCATTTTATGCTTCAAAAGGACATTCTTAATAACTTTTGTATTTCTATATCTTTACTGAGATTTGATCATAAAAGATGTGGGCCCACATTTTGAGACACTGACTGTAAAACACTATGGCATATTCAGTAGATTGAGATAAATGCTACTCAGAATCATGTCATCCTTATTTTGTGACAGTCTGCACCTTGTCTTTGGGGTAAATTGATTTCCTCTTTCTTCCCTTCCCTACCCCAACCTGGGAAAACTCTACCACACACAGGAATGCCTTCCTGACAGGTGGGGGCCCTCTCTCAAGCTATTGTCAGTCCTGTTTAGAATGGATTTCATTTTACATTCCTGGGTGATGATGGCGCTTCAAGATCTCCTGAGTTACAATCTTTAGAGGATGTGCTACCTGTATTTAAATACCATTTATCGCCTGCCTTCACAATGCCAACTCCTCTGCAAAATGCTTTACCTCACTTATCCTACTGAGTCCTTATAAGATGCCCATGCAGTATGTATTATTGACTCCACACTCCAGATTGGAAACTAAGGCAGTGAGAGGCTCATTGGCTTCCCAAAGTTGCCTAAGTAGCCCAGCTGGGAACTGAATCCAGGTCTGCCTGACTGCAAAACCATGATGCCCCTAGAGATGATGGGATGAGGAAAACCTGGATGCAAATGCTGATGAAGGACAGTAGAAAAGATGACATGACCTCCGGGTTGAGGATGTGCTAGTTATATGTTGTGTTGCATGACATCTGTGAATTCTGGACACCAGACGAAATCTCAGATTCCAAAATGTGATTGATTTTGAAAGTGTCTCATCTCTGAATAGCCCTGGATGCTTCTTTACCCCAAAGAAGAAGCAATTAGGAAATAGGTTTTATGGTGTAGTGGGAATAACCGAGAGTTCCATACTAATAAGATTAGTGACGCTTTTTAATGTAATTCAGTAACCACTTGAGTTTACTCCAGCTAATGCACAAGGCATTTCTTTTCAACTGCATTAACATTTCCGACAGGATGAACGAGACTTGGGTATTCTTTATAAGGGAGGTAGGGGTACGTGCTGCTTTCTAGTATTTAGCCAGTTTTGCTCAGTGCTTAGAGCATTGGCCCATGTACAGTGGGGTTGTGGGTTTGATTTCTGGTCAAGGATATGTACCTGAATGCAGATCCAATCTCCAGCCCCATTGGGGCATGAGGCAACCAATTGATGTTTTTCTCTTTCTATCTCCCCCCTCCTCCCTCCCTCCCTCCCTTTCTAAACATTAGTAGAAAAAAATACCCTCAGGTGAGGATTAACAAAAAAAGAAAGAAAGAAAAGCCTTTACTAAATTGTCTTCCCTTCTTCCTTTCCCAGGATGCTGACATTGATTTCCGCAGGCGCACCCCAGGCCTAGGGGTTGTTTTGCATACTCACAACTGTAAACCTACCTTCGCCTCACCTGGGTTCCCAGGCCCGTTTGGCTAGCCCAGAATATGTGAAGAGATGAGGATGTACTGATCTGCCGAGTTTAAAATATGAGCTGTGGGTGATACAGGGAGGTCGGGACAGAAGGCTTGCCCTTGCGGGGTGGGGGTCAGGGGGGTTGTTAAATCTGTACATTTGACTCTCAGGTTTCAGACTCTGAGGGGGAAGTTAGGGGAATTCACTGATTCGCCAAGGCCTGATGATAGGTGGGAGCAGCAAGGGTAGGCTCAAGACACCCAGGAGCTTCGGAAAGGTGGAGGGACATCTGCCCTCACTCAGAAAGCGCAACAGGGGGAATTTATTTGTGAGCAAGACCGAAGACAGACAACCAAGGGACGATGGGCTCCGAAAGTACCATAGCGGGAGAGTAGCTTTCCCACAGCTTTGCAAGGGTCTCCCTGAAACGTGACTCTGAAGTGTGGTCCCTCTTCTTTCTTCCTGGTACATTACAGACAGCTAGGGAGCGGCTAGTAGGCCCACAAAATAGAAAAAGTCCAAAGGCGGCACCAATGGTTTACTGTCACAGGTCTACACATCATCATAAGCGCTGTTGGATTTTGATTGCACGTGTTTACAGGTAGGAGGGCCAGCCCTCTGGGTCCTGGTATCTGCAGGCCACGCACAGGGGAAGCCACTGGCTAGACCCGAGCACACACGTTCCATTTTCACTTGACTACTTGCCACCGATCTCCTCGGAGAAGTCACTGTAAACACTGAGCCTCAGCTTCCCCTTAAAAAAACCCAAAATACAAAAAGGAGGTGATTCTACTTCCCAGGCCTCCTTGAAAGGATCGTTGGGAGGTTCCAATTGGAGTAATTCCGATGGCAGCGAACTGCGAGTAACGGTGACGCCAAATTACTGAAGACCACAAGTTAACCGCATTCAGGTGGAGTTTCAGGACTTTCCCTCCACTGATCTAACTGCAGTCAGGCAGCAACGCTGGGACTGATTCCTTCTTAAGGGCTATCTCACATGCCAAACACCTATGTGTCCCCCCCCCCCCCCCTCCCGGGTCTCCCAGGGCTTCTATCGATTTCTGCCTTTCAGTGAAAGCGCTTTTGGTTGCCGCGGGTCGCACACCCCAGCACACCAGCCCCGCCGCTGGGAGCCAGAGAAGAATCCTTTGCCCTCTCCCGCCTCTCACTCCACACCTTGGTCTCCCGAGTTTTCTGCACGTGAATGGGTTCCTGGCGGATCTCCGAAGACCTTGCAGTGTTTCAGAAAGCTGGGCGCGCGCGGAGATGAGCGAACGAGCCTCTGCCCCCCTCCCGGAGGTCCTGCGCCCCTCGGGGACCCTCCTCCCGCGCCTCTCGGGGCGGTGAAGCCGCCGCCCCCGGAGCGAGCTCGTCCGGCCCGACCCCGCGGAGCAGCGGGCCCCCTCCCCACTTCCCGCTCGCAGCCCCTCTCCGCCAGTAGCAGCGCTGCTGTCCTCCCACAGGAGGGCTGGGAGGGCGCCCGAGTCCGCAGCGCCCCCGCCCCCTCGCTTTTTCTTTCTTTCCTCGGTTTGGGATCTTGCTACCGGAGCCGGGAGAGGTTCGGAGAAGAGAAGAGCGAGGGACCGGAGTGCAGGCTTCCGCTGCAGCGCGCGAACGGAGCTGGGGTGCTGCGTCTCCCGCGTCCGCTCCCGGCCCTCGCCGCCCCGGCTAGGGCGTGAAGAAGGGAAGCCCTCGAAGGAGCCCACGGTTGGAGTCCCTCTGCCCGCAGCGCCACGGGACCCGGGCGGCGACGCAGGCGGCCCGGGGGCCGGCTCCCGGCTCCCATTCCTCTGAAAGAGCGCGGCGGGGATCGCGTCTTCCCGGCGCTCGGCACAACTCCGCGGCCAGCAGCGCGCGGCTGGACCAAGTCCGCTTCCCGCCGACTCGCCGAGTGCGGGCAGTACCTGCACGCCCGCCGGCACTCCCCGTGGCCCGACCTCCTGGGCACCTGCGCCGACCCCCACGCCAGGCGCTGAAACCCCGGCTCCCCGCAGCGCCCCGGACCCGATGGAGAGCGCGCGGGCCGCGGCTTCTTGAGTGCGGGTGCCGCCGCCGTCCAAACTGCGCGCTGGGGTCCCCCGGCTGCCCCCTCTTCGGGGCATCCGAGAAGCCGGGGAAGAGCGCACCATGAAGTCCGTGCTGTTCAGCCGATTCTTCATCCTCCTGCCCTGGGTCCTGATCGTCATCATCATGCTCGACGTGGACACCCGCAGGCCAGCGCCCCCGCTCACCCCGCGCCCCTACTTTTCTCCCTACGCTTTGGGCCGCGGGGGCGCCCGACCCCCGCTCCGCAGGGGCGGCCCCGGGCGCGGCTCGGAAAAGCGCAACGAGTCGCGGCCGCAGCTGCAGCCGCAGCCGCCTCTGCCCACCATCTATGCCATCACGCCCACCTACAGCCGCCCGGTGCAGAAAGCCGAGCTGACCCGCCTGGCCAACACCTTCCGCCAGGTGGCGCAGCTGCACTGGATCCTGGTGGAGGACGCGGCGGCGCGCAGCGAGCTGGTGAGCCGCTTCCTGGCGCGGGCCGGCCTGCCCTGCACGCACCTGCACGTGCCCACGCCGCGGCGCTACAAGCGGCCGGGGCTGCCGCGCGCCACGGAGCAGCGCAACGCCGGCCTCGCCTGGCTGCGCCAGAGGCACCAGCACCAGCGCGCGCAGCCCGGCGTGCTCTTCTTCGCCGACGACGACAACACCTACAGTCTGGAACTCTTCCAGGAGGTAGTGGCCGGCCCGCCTTAGCGGGGGCAAGGGCGGGAGGGGGCCTCGGGGGTCGCCCGCACTTGGGAGTTGTCACTTCTCCGTGCACTTTTGGGACTCCAGGTGGAGCGCTCCTCGCGGGCAGCCCACAGCCTCTGCCGGCCCTGGCGCGTTTCGCTGGTCACGGGGGTGGGGTTTGGGGATAGGGGGTGAGGTCCACCGTGACTCAAGGGTGGGAGTCTGGCTTAGCTGCCTTCCTGGCCCCGAGATTGGGTTGCAGGAGTAGCACAGTTGGGGAGCACGGGGATGATCGCAGGAACAGGCCTGGGTGGCCTGAGGATGCAGCCCAGCTGGAGAGGTTGGTCGGGGAGACTATATGCCAGAGGAGGGGACCAGGGAGACGGCGCTGCGCAGTGCGGGGCGGCTTGGTGTACTCCCCAGGCCTTTCAGCGCGCACAGGTGCGATTGGGATTCTAGAACCATATGGAGAGGAAGGTGGAGAGAATTATTTAAAAATCAGCCAAGAGTCAAATTTCTCTGGCACAGTCCGCTGGCACGGAAATGATTATTAATGAAAACATTACCTTCTAAGGGGGTCCTCCCTCTATCTCTCCCCCCACTTACAAAGGCCCTTTCCGACTCAGCATGCTGCCTCTTTTTTTCAAGGAATCTCTCTGGCAAATGACTTGAGATTGTCCTGCCTTGTGGAAAAGACTGTTCTGTCTTTTCGCAGCCAGAGCTACCAGCTGCAATTCCAGTTCCTTTTCTCGACCTTTCTCGAAGGCCTCACTGTTTGGTGAGTTAGCAAGGCTACTCTTGCATGGCGCCCTTGCATCCTGGTGCTTGCTGGGGGTTCTGAGTGCATCCGGCCCCACGCTGTGGAGAAGACCCTCTTTTCCCTTGAAAGGCCACACGTGCGCACAACCAGCCTGCACGGGGCTAGAACAGGTGTTACTTCTTGAGGCTGGTATTTTGCAGCCTGTGTGTGTGTGTGCTGCACGTAAGACTGCGTTCCAAGGTTGTGTCAGTTTATTCTTCATACACAAATACAGCTGGAAAATATCTTGGATTCTTTGACATCCTGTGGGACCATTGCCTTCCTCTACACCAAATTCCTTGATATCCTGCCTCTAAGACTCCATTGCCCCCTTCTCACCCAGGTAAACTGGACTGTGTGTCGGGTAAATCATACATGCCCCACACTTTCTTTCTAATATCTGTTTAGTGTTCTTAACCTCAGGCCAATGCTACTTGTACACCTTCAGTTTAATTTTTCTGCCTATGTGATTTGAAAAAATCCATTTCTTAAGAGCAGTTGCCACCTTCATTTCTATTCATCCTTTCCTTCTTTGAATTAAAGGACCAGTAATTGCTCTCTATCTTTTCTTCTCCATCCTTTCAGGAGGTAGGGCTTTTCTGTCCATGTTTCTACAGAAGAAATAAATGTATGGTATAGTCGTTATAACCAAGATTACAGATATCATCTGATTTTTTAAAAATTGGGCTTTTATTTTTATGCTGCTTGCATACTCTCTCCCACAAAAGATATGGTTTGTATTCTGAAGCACAGACCTTTACATGTCAGTACACCACAGTTTTAAGCCCACTTTTCTCCTGCAACTGGGAAGTTGCCTTACCTGTGAAACTGTGGTCTTGTGTGTGTAAAGTAATGCACATCATTATTAATTACCCCTTTAGGGGGCTGGGCTGTGAAGGGGGAATGATTTTCAGTTTATTCCCAGCTGCTAGCCTGTCGTGTGTGGTGTTAGATGAGGGCGAGAGTTGGCAACACAGGCGGTGAGACATTCAGAACAGTCTTCCTTTGATGCTTCCCAAACTGAAAGGAGGGCTTGTTGGTGGTGGCTACTAAGCAGCAAGAGGAGAATAGAGTAGGTTTTTTCCCCTAGTGGTCCATGGGGGAGTGGGGGGGGGGGCAGGAAGAGAGACAATATAAGAAAGGAGAGGGTGAGGAGAGAAAAAAATAGTATTGGCCAGAGGAAAAAAGCAAAACTTTATGGAGTAATGAGAATAAAATTAAGAGCATGTGCAGCTCTTTTTTGTGGAGAGGTGCCAAGTATACAAAAATACACAACAGAAGCAACTTTTTTAAAAACACAATATGCACCACACACTTAGAATTTTTTCTTTTTTTTATCTTTATTGTTGAAAGTATTGCATATGTCCCCTTTTTCCCCCTATTGACCTCTTCTATCCTGCCCATTCCCCCACCCCAGGCCTTTACCACCCTAGACACACTTAGAATTTAAATTCTATAGCTCCTAGAGGTCCCTCCAAGACAGTAATTTTATGACTAGTCCCTTTGTCCACCACCATTCCTTCTCCCTCCCACATGATGCATTTGGACAGAGTAGGTATCTGTTCCCCATGCATATATGCCCGTACGTTTAGTTTTTCTTTTTACAACACATTTTCCTCATATGGCAAGCAGTAGTGATTCTCTAAAAAGTCAGATTAGTGGAATTTATGCATCCTTAGTTTTGTGAATTAATGGGATGGCCTACTTTAAACCAGTTCTAGGATTGATTCCATGTGGATTACAGAGTAAACAGGGCTCTCTTAGACGAAAAGGTAGGACTAGATAAAGCAGACACTGAAGCGCCCTGAGAGGGGAGGGAAAATGCTGATCAAGGATGCTGTAGGGCGGAGGTCTGTATCTCGGCACTGTGTTTGTGCACACGCGCAGATTAGTTTTTAAGTAATTCACAGTGCGTAAGGAAAGAACGTCCCAAGTCAGGCTTCATCTTTTATTCATAGTGCTTCCAATTTCCATGGTTGATGTAAACGCAGATAAGATAGAAGGAAGAAAATGAACCAGGTACAAATTAGCTCACTAAGCATTGGCTGCAAATGAAGGAAAGTAAAAGATGAAAGGTCTCCAAATTAAATTAAAGGCGCAACAGGCAATCCATGTTCAATTATTTCTCCGTGGTAACTGGCATGGTGTTTGCTTCTCCCATACAGCTAACTCATTTTCAGCCTACCCTTTCAACTGAGCTGTGCCACCTGGAAAGAAAGATTTGCATTGAATGAATCCTGCGTTAACAGCCAAATCCATTTGCAAATGAAAGCTAGTGTGGGTTGCAACCACAGAAACTCTGCTGGCCATTGGAGAGAACAGTGGTCAGGTGTGTGTGTGTGTGTGTGTGTGTGTGTGTGTGTGTGTTTTCAGGTTTCCAGCATTTCAACAACAATTGCTCTTCCTGTGGCATTGATGGGGGTTTGAATTCTGGACCACAGGTAGTCCACCTGCCTGTGCACCCTATGGATGGAGCTCTCCGGAAAAGCTTTTTTGCAAAGGATTTAAATGGCTTTCATAAAAGCAACTACCGAAGATAAATGTGACTCTATATCCAGTCATATTTTCAATAAGCTATTGATCAGATTTCTGTTCCTTACTGGAAAACCTTCCAAGTTTTCCTGAGTTTAAAGCTGATGCTTTTCAGGTGAAGTTGCTTTCACCTTTGCGAGTCCATTAAATTGAAAGGTTAAAAAATAGCACTTTCCAAGCAAGAACAAAAACTTTACAATTTTTAACTTTAAATTTAATGAGGAAAGACTGGAAGACAGGCCAACTCGAGACATTTAAGGAGCTCATGAAAGGACTCCTTTAATGAGACTGCATCTTGAAGATGTTCTGACAGGCCGTGAGCTGAACAGGCCCTTTGTTTGGATTTTTTTTGGGGGGTGCTATTAAGTTATTTGTGTGCTAGGAAGATGGAGGAGTTGAGGCTTAATTCTGTCTTCTTTTCTGAAACATTTATAAGCTCCCCCCTTTACAGGCAGCTTATTAGAGCTATGATACAAAGAATATTGAAATTCACAATTTTAACCGCCCCACCCTCCACCCCCCAATAGTAAATTCTGTATGTTTCCTGCAAGGAGACAAAAGATCTACCGGTTTTTTTTTACCCTGATACTTAGTGTAGGGTAATTATCTTTTCAAAGTGAAGAAACCCAGAAGATTCCATTATTTTACCTGAAATGTGTTCCTTGTGTTTTATTTCTCCCTATCTAAAAGCATATTAATAGTCATGCCTTAGGTCTGATAAAATGTGAGCATTTTGGGAAAAATATGGTCATAAAGCTACAGCCAATTTTCTTAGGCTATTGATGTTAAATCTATAGATTTTCTTTAGTCTCCCTGTGGATAGGCCTTGAGTTATGGCTAGTCTTTGACAGGGTTCTTTGGAGATCAGCAGTTTTCATTTGGATTTTGATAATTTAATGGACCAGAAATAATAACTCAGCTTTAAAAGACATTCTGTCTTGCCTCTTCCAATTGTCTTTTTCCATCATTCGCCCCCTTACTTTTCACTGACTATTCTTTGTCATGAATACCAGTAGACATGAAGATGTGTCTGGATTATTGTTTGGTACAATGAATGTGTGTCTTTTAAACATTTATGCTGTTGTCTGGTTCTTTTTGGAAACTATGTGGGTGACTCCATTTTCTTCTGTTATTCCACTTGCCTCTAAATTACAAGCTGGTAATTTTTCTCTTGTGTGAACACTAATGAAATAGTAATTGCTTTTAAGGCTTGCTACAAAAGAAAATAGAAGAACCAAAGTGAACGGTCTTATTTATTAACAATTCCAGGGGGTATTCGAATAGTGGGGTTTTTTTGGTACAGAATTCAATAATGTTCAGGTATGTCTATTCAAACCTTTCAGACTCTGATGGAATATTTTCTAAGTCTGTATAAGTTAACATGTTATTGTATATTTGATTTGCAGTGCTGTGGAAGCACGAAATTAGGTTTTGCATGGTTCTCAAATTCTCTCCCCAAAACACAAATCTATATGTAGGTAGGTAAGTAAATAGGTAGATTTAGAATAGATTTCCAATTCACAGAAGTAAAAACTAATAAAATATAATCCATTGTTCATACCTGGTAATTTTTGTATACAACCTTAAGTAAATGTTAAAAATATCCTTTGCCGCCGAAACCGGTTTGGCTCAGTGGATAGAGCGTCGGCCTGCGGACTGAGGGGTCCCAGGT